AGACTCTCAGAAAAAAAGGTACAAGCGGTACCATTTCAAAAGCACACCTTTGTACCTAAAGCCTCTATATTTGTATCTTATAAAAGGTACTGCTCCAGTGACACCTTTTGTACCTTTTTTCTGAGAGTGTAACTTTAAAACCAATATACACAACCACTGTTGGAGAAGAAACAAGTGTGTGTGTGTAACTGAGATACAGACTGTGTGACTGCTTCCCCATGTGACAACTAGCCCCGGTGTGCTGAGTGTGGTCAGATGAGCAGCTGTGTCTCGTTACACACTGATCTGAAGCCAAACACACACTGATCTGGAGCCTGCGTCTCCTGAAGGAGCTTCTCTCCTGTCGTGACCATATGCTGCTCTGACCCCCGCCGCCCCGCGGCATGCTGGGAATGAACTCACAGACATTAACATACCAGTCAGGAAGCAGCAGAGCAAGAGAAATGCCAGAGATGAGTTCAGGAAGATCCACTTCTGTGAGGATCATCATCATCATCATCATCATCATCATCAGAGGAAACCTGCTCACATCTCACACAATATTAAACAAGCCCGGCCTGTTTCTGAGACGTGAACACGGTTACTACAGTTAACTAGAAATAATAAATGCTAACTAAAATGAAACTTTATTTTAGATTCTAGTTGCCAAAGCAACACTTCTCATTCTCATTTAGTTTAACTTGATATACTAAAATAACTAAAACTATAAATAAAATTAATAGTGCTGTCAAACGATTAATCGCATCCAAAATAAAAGTTTTGTTTGCATAATATATGTGTACGGTGTATATTTGGTATGTATATATATATAAATACACACACATGCATGCATATATTTCGAAAATATTTACGTCTATATTTATATAATTTATATTACAAATAAATATATTTAATAAACATATTTTTCTGAAATGTATGCATGCATGTGTGTGTTTATATATATACATAATAAATATACACAGCACACATATATTATGTAAACAAAAACTTTTATTTTGCACGCGATTAATCGTTTGACAGCACTAATAAAAAAGACATCAATTACTAATAATGACAAAACCTCATAACAAAAATACAAAAGGTTTAACTAGAATTAAAACACAAATATAACTAATTTTAAAATATTCATCTATATAATAGTATTAATACTTAATTTGGAAATGAAAGGAAATGCAACAAATATAAATCTTTTTTTCTTTATATTACAGAGAATATTGGGGGGAAAGAACAAATACATTATTATGCAAAAAATATATATATATATTTTTCCTCATGCAAAATGTAATTTTCTTTTGATTTTGAAATGAAATATAATTAGAATTTTCTTTACTGGTTTAGTGAGATTCACCCAGCAAATAAATGTGTTTCTGTGAGCAACATATATATATATATATATATATATAGGTATAGATAGATATATATTTTTATACATATGTGTTTTAAATTATTTTCTTAATTTTTTTTAAGAGTACTTAAAAGTAAACATATTTCCCATTATGTTATACTCTTGATTTGGGGATGGATATATTTCTGTGAGGTTTAGGGAGCACAAACACTGATCAAATATTAAACCCTGAAAACACAGCGTCTGTCAAATGAATAAATGTAAGTGCACACATCAGCAGATGCTACTGATGATCTCGTTACACAACGAACTTTACATAAAAGCATGCATTTTAAGGTTAGACTTTAAATTTTGATGTTAAATCCACTAGTGTATAAAAGTTCAATTACATAAGTAGTAACTGTAATTAAATTACAGAAATACGCACAGGACCAATGCATTTGAATGAAACGGGTGTTTTATTCTACAAACGCATCATTCCCGTGACCTTTAGCCAGGCGTCCCGTGGTTCTGATCTATTTGGGTCCCAGCATGTCTTGCGGTCGCACCCACTGCTCAAACTGCTCGTCTGTCAGGAAGCCCAGCTTGACGGCCGTGGTTTTCAGAGTCAAGCCTTCTTTGTGCGCCGTCTTTGCAATAGTGGCGGCTTTATCATAACCTGAAAGAGAAGACCAGATCAGACACACAGGAGCGACAAACACACTTCAGTAGCAAGCTGACTTTTTTTGTGGGGGGGGTGTCACATAGCAACTGCCACAGAAGTCACCATAGCAACAGAGTTTCCGATGAAGTAGCGATTTTTTAAATTTCCAAACGTTTTTTTTTTTCGGTCTAAATTACCAAACAACGCCAGAGGGTTAAAAAACATGAGCCCTTAAATACTGCATGTCCCACACGACTCTCTGTTTCAGTAGAAAATACATCAACACAGGAAAGAAACACACCCTGTGTGACCCTGGAGCACAAAACCAGTCATAAGGGTCAATTTTTTGATAATTGAGATTTATTCGTCATCTGAAAGCTGAATAAATAATCTTTCCATTGATGTATGGTTTGTTAGGATAGGACAATATTTG